TCAACTAGAATGTGATAAACAATCCTGACCTTATTATCCATTTATAAAAAATATCCTGGGCTGGAGCGATAGCACAGCGGGTAGGGCGTTCGCCTTACAAGCGGCCAACATGGCCGACCCGAGTTCGATTCCTCCGCCCCTCTCGGAGAGCCCGGCAAGCTACCGAGAGTATTCGATATGCCAGACACAGTAACAACAAAGTCTCCAATGGAGACGTTACTGGGCCCGCTCGAGCAAATCCTGGATAAGGGAATGTATTAAAATATATTTGTGGGTGTAAGGTCCCTTGAGGCTGGAGAGAAAGCACAGTCGGGAGGGTGCTCGCCTTGCATGTGGTCAACCTGGGTTCAATCCCTGGCATCCCATAAGATCCCCCAAGCACTGACAGGAGTAATTCCTGAGTGCAGAACAGAAGTTACCCCTGAACATCTCTAGTGTGGCCTCAAAACAAAATAAATAAAAATTAAAAATAATGATTAGGTGCCAGGGATAAAATTCTGGAGTAGAGCACATGTTATATGTGTGATGCCTGGGGTTTGATCCCCAGCGCACACATGCACTCCCCAGTCCCCAAATTATATTCGCTAAATGGGAGACATATATGGTCTATGATGTAGGCCATTTTACATATGAACTCAATGGAGTTCATATGTAAAACTCAATGGAGTTCATATGTAAAACTCAATGGAGTTCATATGTGAAAGCAATCTGAAGACAAAGAAATTAGCTAAAGAATCAAGTATTTATTCACGGAGGGGATAATGTATTAGGTGAAGAAGGCTAGATGTGGGGGAAGTTTGGGCCACTCCCCACAAGCGCTCAGTGCTTATTCCTGGCTCTGTGCTCAGGGACCACTCCTGGGGGTGCTCAAGAGACCAAATGTTGTGCTGGGGGTTAAACCAGGGTTGACTCTGTACAAGGCCAGCTCCTTAGCCCCTGTACATGTCTCTGGTCTGAAAATGACATTTTAGAAGATGTAATTGACACTTTCCTTCATGGAGAAGTGAAAGAGAAGATCGTGATTCTGTCGTGCTTGTGTGGTGTAGTGTAAGCCACTCTCAGACCTGGAACTTTATCCCGGAGACTAGGGAGCAGCCACTGTCGTGTGATCCGGCCACTGTGCATTGTAACTCAGTCACTGGGTAGAAAATGCAGAAAAGGGAGCCGGTATTTCAGAAGCCAGATAAAAGGTACTATGCTTCTCCAGGCACAAGCTCTTGGTGTCTTATTTTATTATTATTATTATTTTTGCTTTTTGGGTCACACCCAGCGATGCACAGGGGTTGCTCCTGGCTCATGCACTCAGGAATTACTCCTGGCGGTGCTCAGGGGACCATATGGGATGCTGGGAACTGAACCCGGGTCGGCTGCCTGCAAGGCAAATGCCCTACCCACTGTGCTATGGCTCCAGCCCCGCTCTTGGTGTCTTAGATGACAATGGTACCTGAAGTGATGGGTGCATCCAACAGGACCTCTGGGAGAGTAGGAATCAAGATGTAATCAATAGTGAGATAGCTCCAATAGGTGAATGGTGAAACAGGACCACTAGAAGGAGTGCAAGTTTCAGAGTGGGGAGCAAGACAGATTTTTTTAAAATCTAACTGGGGAGGTAGCTCAGTGGGCTGAATGCATGCTCTGCGGGTTCTATTCCTGGCACTGCGTGATCCAATCCCTCAGCACTGTAGGGTGTGCCCCCACCAAGCTCCCATATATATATATATATATATATATATATATATATATATGTGTGTGTGTGTGTGTGTGTGTGTGTATGCTGGGGCTCCTCCAGCAGTGCTCAGGGCTTACTCCTGGCTCTGTGCTCAGGTATCACATCTGGTGAGACCATATCGGGTGCTGGGAATTGAACCCAGCGAAATGCAAGGCAAGTGTGCCTTACTTATCTCTCTGGACACACACACAGACACAGACACACACAGACACAGACACACACACACAAATAAGGGAGCAAAGATGTCCCTTGCAGTAATGAGCTCTCGTTTTAGACAGGAGAGGCTAAAGATCTTTCTGTAGAGTATCAAACATTCCTGTCCAGAAATAACTTGTGCACTAAATAACTAAGGAAGGGTCCTTTCTGCCCCAGTGCTCACCCGAGAGACAGTCCCACTCTTGCGGGAATCTGCCCGCCCCTGCGCAGCCAAAGAAGCCCTGTTTGCCCATAATTTGAACGCCTCACAACCCTGGACACCAGGTTAATGATTAAAGGTTCCTGACTTGTTTGTTTCACCGGCGAGAAGGATCCGGGTTTCTCAGGGTGGCCCAGAGAACGGTGCCGGTTCCACCGCCCCGAAGGCAAGTCTGCACAGGCCCAGGAAGGAGGTGGCGGGTGCGGCTGACCCGGCCCAGAGCGCAAGAGGACAGCGAGCACCTCCCGCGGGGAACCGGGAAAAGCCAGGGCTGCTTCCCTCCGGGCTCCGGGGCCTTGCGGGGTGAATTGATCACCCGCGCAGGGGTGGGGGTGGGGGTGGGGCTGGGGTGCGGTGAGGGGAAGAGATTGACTTTTGAAACCTCAGGTGAAAACTTGGAAGGCGCAGGAGGAGGCGGAGAAGGGTCTGGGGAAGGCAATCTTTGCCTTGGGGCGCTGATCCTGCGAGAGGAAAGTTTGGAGAAGTCAAGGCCAGCCCGGTGGTCCCTCACTGGCCCGCTCATTGGCCAAAGACCCGATCGTTGGGTTCTCTGGATTCCCACCCTAACTCTTCTCCGGGTTTTCCCTGGTGCTGACAGTCAGACGGCCCCCACCCCCACCCCTAACCCCCAAGGCTCTCCCCCCACCCTGTCCCAGCCGCTGCCTTGGGCATCCTGGGGTAAGCAATTTCCCCCCCATTTCCGTCCCTTTCTTTGCATTTTAGCACAGACTTTGGGGGTGGGGTGGGGGTTAATTCGCTGCCTGATTTCTTCCTCCCTGAAATCCGAGGAATAAAACTGACGGCGGGGATCGTTAAGTGATACACAAACCCTAAGTGTGACAGTTCTTTGGGGGGGATGAACTCTGGCACATCCTTGACGCTTTGATGGACTGCATTTCTCCTTCTCTTGGCTTTTAGTTTCGGGGCCACACCCGGCGGCGCTCAGGGCTCACTTCTGGCTCTGTGCTCAGGGATCAGATCCCGACCGGGCTCGGGAGACCAGATGCGGTACCCGGGATCGAACCCGGGGCTGTCCCCGCGCCGTCCCCGACGTACTGCCTTCGTTTCTAACGCGGCTCTTAGTCTGGAGACGAGCTCCGGCGCCTGGGTGCACCCCTGCTGGTCCTGCCGGGAGCGGAATCAAGAGGCGGCCCGGGTTTTCGCAAGGAACCACCCACCCGCGTTCGAGACGGGAAGTCAAGCCTCCCCGCACAAAAGCCCTACTTTTGTCGGCCGGTGGGTCTGGGAGCTGGAGGCGTGGGAAAACCCAGCGTTGCAAATGCCGCGCGCCCCGGGCGCTCGGGGCCTGCAGGCGAATGCACGGTCCGGGCACCCGGCGAACCGGCTGCTCCAGGCGCGCTCTCCGGGCTGCCACTTCCAGGCACTCCTCCCCCTCCGCCCCGTAACCTGCCCGGGGCACGCCTGCCAGGCCCGAGACACTAAGAGTTTGTTCCCGCTGCGGCGCCTCTCCACCCAGGAGGTCCACCCACCTCTCCCTTCGGGGGTCCGTCCGTGCCGCAGCCCGGAATTCTGCATCTCAATGGCTTTCCGGCTCCTAAAATGGGTCCTTTGTGCCCAAGGCCTCCTTGCCGTTTGGCTGGTGTAGGTTTTCAGACACCGGTTCCCCCTAACTCACATTGATCAGGCCCCCGCCCCCACCCCCTCCCCCGCGTCTTCCCGCCTGCAACTTTGGGGCCCGGGCAACCGGCCCTCGCAACTGGACGCGTCTCTGCCTCGGTTAATCGAGACATCTAAGCGCTCCGGGCCCCTCGCTCCCGCACTGCCAAGGCCTTAGGCGGAATCGCAACTGCTTTGGGAGCAGCTGTCGGCGTCCCTGGGTGGCAGGAACACGTTAGACCCGGGTGGCGATTTCTTCAGTCGCCTCGGAACCGCACGCAGCACCTTCCCGGGAGTTGTTCTGGGAATTGCTCTACCCATCTCCGGGCTCTGCGAGAAAGCGTGCCAGTTGGGTGCAAAGGTGGCACCGCACCCCCCTTCCCCCCCGCCCCCGCGGACCTGCGTGTCTCGTGGTCCCGGGCCTGCGGTTCCGAGCGTAAAGCCCGGGCCCACGGCCAGCTTAACCTCCCCTCGCTAGGGAAACGGGCCGAGGCGTTCCGGTTCCCGCCTCCGCGGCCGAAACCCCTCGAGAAAACAGGTGGTTCTTTCGTTTTTAGTTCGGAGGGGGCGGCGGGGGCGGCGGGGGTGCGGGCGAGGCCAGACGCGCGAAGCGGGCCGAGAGCGAGGGCGGACGGGGCGGTCCGGGCGCGTGGGTCCGAGACGCGCGGAGAGCGGCCGAAGCTCCGAGCCCGACGCGCGCGCGCGCGCGCGGCTCCGGGCCCGCCGACCCGGCGCGGTCCGCGAACCGCGCGTGCGCGGCGACCGCGTGCCCGCCCCGCGCCCGCCCTCCGCCTGGCCCCGCCCCTCCGGCCGAGGCCCCGCCCCGCCCGCCCGGCCCCGCCCCGCCCGGCCCGGCCGCCGGCGCGGAGCATTGTGGGACACAAACAAAGTGGCCCCGGACCGGCGGGAGCGAGCGGAGCGGCCACGGCGGCGGCGGCGCCGGCGGCGGCGGCGGCGGCGGCTCCCGCCCAACCTCCCCTCCCCTCCCTCCGGCCCCGGCCCCGGCCCGGCCCGCCCCGCCCCGCCGGGGCCTCGCGAGCCGTCGCCGCGCTCCCCGCAGCGCCCCCCGCCCTGTCCGGCCGGCGCGAGCGAGCGAGCGGGCGCCGCGGGCCCGCCATGGCCCAGCCCCAGCCCCAGGCCGCCGCCGGGCCTCGGCTTGGCGGCCCGAGATAGGGTCCCCGCCGCCCCGGGGAGGAGGGAGGCCCGGGCCGCGCCCCGCCCCCTCCCCGCCGCCGCCGCCGCCGCCGCCTCAGCCGCCTCAGCCGCCTCAGCCCGGCGGGGAGGAGGAGCCGCGCCGCCGCCGCCGCCGCCTCAGCCGCCTCAGGTAACGCCGCGCCCGGCCGGGCCCCGCGCCGGACGGACCCGGACCCGGACCCGGGCCCGGGGAGGAGCCGCTCGCTGACCCCGCGCGCCCCGCCGGGGTCGCCGCGCACCTGGGGGCGCCCGCGCGCGCGCACGAGCCGGCCCGCCCGCCAGCGAGCGCGCGCGGCCTGCGCCCCCCCCCCCCCCCGCTGCTGCGGGCGCGCTCCGGGACGGGCCGGGGCCGGGGGGGGGGGGGGGCGCCGCGGCCGAGCCCCCCGGGCGGGCGGGGGCTTCTCGGCCGCCCCTCCCCGAGGCCGCCGCCGCCGCCGGCCTAGCCGCGAGGACGCGCGCCCGGAGACCGGCTCCTCGGCGGGACCCGTGTGGGGCCGCCACGCGCCCGGGGTCGGGTCGGGTCGGGTCGGGTCGGGTCGGGTGGGATGGGGGGGCGCACGCAGACCCCAGCCAACCCCCCCCCCCCACCCCCGGGGGCAGCGGGCCTGGGATTGGAGCCCGCCGAAGTGCGGGGGGAAACGTGCGAGTCGGAGCTCGTCGGTCGAGGTCAACGGCGGGCGTGGGGGGCGCGGGGGGCGGGATCCTCTCGCACCCGCGTTGGTTTCTCTGGCCCTGGGAGGCCGGTGGACGCAAGACAAAGTTCCCGGCTGGCTGGCGCCCATGTGCACAGGTAGAGAGGTGTGTGTGTGTGTGTGTGTGTGTGTGTGTGTGTGTGTCTGTCTCTCTCTCTCTTAAGTCCTGGGTGAGTCCCCATGTGCACAGGTAGAGAGGTGTGTGTGTGGGTGCCTCCTGCCCGGTGTCCGTGGGAATGAGGGTGTGTGTGTGTGTGTGTGTGTGTGTGTGTCTCAAGTCCTGGGTGAGTCTCCATGTGCACAGGTAGAGAGGTGTGTGTGTGGGTGCCTCCTGCCCAGTGTCCGTGGAAATGAGGGTGTGTGTGTGTGTGTGTGTGTGTGTGTGTGTGTGTCTTAAGTCCTGGGTGAGTCTCCATGTGCACAGGTAGAGAGGTGTGTGTGTGGGTGCCTCCGGCCCGGGTGTCCGTGGGAATGAGGGTGTGTGTGTGTGTGTGTGTGTGTGTGTGTGTGTGTCTCAAGTCCTGGGTGAGTCTCCATGTGCACAGGTAGAGAGGTGTGTGTGTGGGTGCCTCCTGCCCGGTGTCCGTGGGAATGAGGGTGTGTGTGTGTGTGTGTGTGTGTGTGTCTCAAGTCCTGGGTGAGTCTCCATGTGCACAGGTAGAGAGGTGTGTGTGTGGGTGCCTCCTGCCCGGTGTCCGTGGGAATGAGGGTGTGTGTGTGTGTGTGTGTCTTAAGTCCTGGGTGAGTCTCCGCGTTTCCCATTGCTCCAGGTTGGCTGGCAGTGGAGTCGTAACTATTTTATTTTTTTTTGCCTGATCGTGGGGCAGGAAAACCATGGCTGTTTTCCTGCAGGCTCCTGTTTTAGAAAGATTACGTCGATTATGAAAACTAGATTTCCTTATTTTTGTGCAACCCTTGGCATTTTATTGAATAGGACTCTCCTAGCAGCAGCCTAAGGATTTAGTAATAGTACGACTTGAGTTTTTTTTGGACGACACGGAGGCTTGGTAGCCACGTGAAGTATCTAATAATAGAGGTCAGTTATGTGTCTGAAGATAATTCCGGCCAAGGTGTGCTTTGGTACTGTGTTTCTGTGCATAGGTATATTGTTAGGGGGGGAGGGATGGATTCTGGCCACACCCTGTACACTCGGGGAGTCCTCCCAGCACCCACAGCTTGGTGCTCATGAGTTGTTGGGGGACGGTGTGGTGCAGGGCTGGGACCTGGACTTTCACCATGCGGGCGATGTGCACCCTGTAAACTGTCTCTCTGACCCCGGATACATTTTTCAGAAACTTGGTCGCGGGAAATTTCTGTCTGGACTAGGGAAGAAGCCCCTGCCCAGATGCTGTGGTTGCTATCAGTCTTCTCTTGCTACATTGTTCCGCTCTTTGTGTCTCTTGTATCTGTTTGAAAGAGAGTTGCAGGCATCTTGGCACTCAAGTGTTTCGGCTTGCGTTTCCTAAGAATAAGGACATTCTTCTAACCCCGTATCATTATCAACGCCTTTCTAAATCTGTATACGCATCTTTTAAGTGTTCCAGGGTCGGGGGAAACTACTCCCCACCCTTGAATCGTAGCAGGATTCCCGCATTGCGTTTGGTGACTTACCTCCCCCTCCCTTTTTTGTAGCTGCTGGTGGTAGAACCCAGGGTCCACACGTGGGAGGCAGCTGTGTTCACTGCCGAGCTGCACCCCCTTTTCGTAAATAATTGAGAGGTGTGACTCTAGTAGTGAAGACCACCCTCATATAGGAGCCTGAACAGAGTACCCATCTCCTTGGTGCTCACTCAGTAGGTGAACTGGGCTAGGTTGCCTCACTTTTGTCTGTGTTCTCTTGGAGTCATTTAGTTTATTCCTCTGCCCCCCTGAACTTCATGTATGGGAAGTCACATTTAAGTAAAAGCTTAATTAGCTTAAAGTAAAAGTCAAGGAATTTTAATAGACAACGCATTGTTCTTACTATTGCTTTATAGAGGAGGTACAATATAATGCAAATTGCCATACTATTAAAGATGTCAATATAATGAACTCGATTCAAGTGATGATTACCAGGTCTTTTTACGAAGGGGTGGTTGGTTGGTTTACGAAGTGTATGTAATGGGGATAACACTTTGACACCAAGCAGGTATCTTGGCTCTGACTTCTTTTGAGATTAGTCATTTTAGCACCTATTAATGATAGTTATTTATGTCATTTATTGGAGATTTTATATAAGGAAGGTTTCCTCGTTGGGCCACACCAAGCGGTGCCTGGGGCTCCTGGGGTTGGCCACATGCAAGACAGACTCTTTAACCCCAGTACTATTTCTCTAGCCCACGATTTCCTTCTTTACTGAGAGTAAACTTAAGGTACCCAAAAAAAAATACAGAGGAAGTGTTTCATTTCTCCCCTCTTGTTATCGCTATTTAGAGTAAACAGTCGGGGAGCTAGCTAGCCCCCATGATACTAAAAATATATATACTTTTATTTGTGGGATACCACTATGGACTCCTGGATTTTAATTTATTCTTTATGTTTGTTTGCCTGGCTTTGGTTTACACTCAGTGGTGCTCAGGGATTAATCCCGGCTTCTCTGCTCAGGCATCTCTTCTCCTGGTTGTCTGTGGGACCCTTAGGGATACTGGGGATTACACTTGGGTCAGCTGTGTGCTAGGCAAGTTCCCTATCCACTCTAGTATTGCTCTGGGCTCATTTATAAATAACTTACCATTATTTTTTAATGCTGCGCATTATTCCAAAATGGGGCAGTAAGAATACTTGAAGGCGGGTTTCACAGTGTGTCTTTTCCTTTTTGTTTTACTCTGCGGGGATCAAACCCAGGACTTCATGCATACAAAGCAGGTGCTCTACCACAGAACTGCAACCCTGTCCCCCTGTGGTTTTATTTGTTTTGTTTTAAATACTTCTGTTTGCCATTAATCTTGGAGAACTTTTTGGCTCCTTCTGTTAATTTTTTTCTCTCCAGATTGCGAATAAACTGCTTATCTCATTAGTCTTGGTTTCTTTCAGTGAGGGGGGGGAAAGATATTAGAAACCAAGGTTTGAATGTTTGACATATTCTTTGCTCCCGAAGTGTCATTGCTTTTAAGCCATTTCTTTTTTTTTTTTTTTTTTCTTTTTGGGTCACACCTGGCAATACACAGGGGTTATTCCTGGCTCTGCGCTCAGGAATTACTCCTGGCCGCGCTCAGGGGACCTTATGGGATGCTGGGAATCGAACTCAGGTCGGCCGCGTGCAAGGCAAACGCCCTACCCGCTGTGCTATTGCTCCAGCCCCAAAGCCATTTCTGAAGAGAGAATGAAATGTTTTTTCAGTGCTTGTTCACAGACTTACAAGCTATATTCAATTCAAATGTAACAGCAGGGCTGGAGCGACAGCACAGCAGGTAGGGCATTAGCCTTGCATGCGGCCAACCCGGGTTCGATTCCCAGCATTCCATATGGTCCCCCGAGCACCGCCAGGAGTAGTTCCTGAGTGCATGAGCCAGGAGTAACCCCTGTGCATTGCTGGGTGTGACCCAAAAAGCAAAAACAACAACAAAAACAAAACCCAAATGTAACAGCAGACTTTAACTTCTTTGGGCTGGGGTTGGGGTGGAGTGGGTGGGAGGGGGGAATAGAATCCAGGCTTCCTTGAATGCAAACATGCACTCCAGCCCTTTGAACTCTCTCTCTGGCCCTTTATTATGTTCAGAGTCACAAATGATGGTACTGGGAGCGTTGAAGCAGTGCTATGGATGAAACACAGGACTTTGCACATGTAAGGCATGTGTTTAATTGTCAGATCTCAGACTCAAAATAAGTTGTTTTGAGGGGAGCAGTCACACCCATTGTTGCTCAGAAATCACTCCTGGCAGGCTCACGGCACCATAGGGGATGCCTATGAGATCCCCGATGGTCCCTGACTTGGGGGGACCAGAGATAGACCCTGACTTGGCTGCGTGCAAGGCAAGTGCCCTATCCTCTGTGCTATTGCTCTAGCCCCTCAAATAAGTTGTTTTTGTTGTTGTTGTTGTTTTAAGTATACTTCAGGGATGAAAGAAGTAGTACGGGAGTTAAGGCACATGTTTTGCTTGTGGCTTTACGTACACATGTCTCCCAAGCATTGCTGGTTGCAGCCCTTGACTTCTCTAAACTTCCAGTTGTGATCTTGGACCCTGGGCCCCCAAGCACCACTTTGGTGACCCAGCTCTTCCCTCCTACTGTAGTGCTGAGTGACACAAGGCTCAAGCATGAAACCGTTTGACCCAGTTGGCCAACTACCGCCAGGAGTGATCCCTGGGCTCCCCTAGCATTGCAACCCTTTCACTCCAAACAATTTTAATTAAAAAGCAAAAAAACAAAACAACTTGTCACTGAAAAATGGTTACACATGCAAGACTTACAGGGGTAGGGCTGAAGTGCAGCAGGTAGGGTGCTTTCCTTGCACGAGGGC